CAAGGTTCAAAATATTCTTACTTACCTGTGGGGTTTACATTCAGTATCTGCTCATTTTCTACATCCATTGTTCCTTAATGTCACTTGCACTGATTGAATTACTAATGGAAGTCTTCCCTTGGGATCTGTTTCCTTAAAAAGAAAAAAAAAAACCTTCAACATCTTCCAAACTGATAGAATTAAGGTAAATTCAATTTACTTAATCACATTGTAAAAAAAAATAAAACCAGCACATAATTTTTTTTTTTAATTTTTTAGATGTTTTAATTTACCTTTGAGAGACAGAGAAAGACATAGCACTAGTCAGGGAGGAGGAGAGAGGGAGACACAGAATCTGAAGCAGGCTTCAGACTGTGACCTGTCAGCACAGAGCCCAACACAGGGCTTGAACTCACGAACCACCACATCATGACCTGAGCCGAATTCAGACACTTAACCGACCGAGCCACCCAGGCACCCCAGCACATAATTTTTTTTTTTTAACATTTATTTATGAGAGAGAGAGAGAGAGAGAGAGAGAGAGCGCGCGTGTATGTGTGTGTGAGTGAGCAGGGGAGAGGAAGAGAGACAGGGGAACAGGGGATCCAAAGCAGACGTCACATTGACAGCAAAGAGCCTGATGTGGGGCTGGAACTCACAAACCATGAGATCATGACCTGCGGGGCGCCTGGGTGGCGCAGTCAGTTAAGCGTCCGACTTCAGCCAGGTCACGATCTCGCGGTCCGTGAGTTCGAGCCCCGCGTCAGGCTCTGAGCTGTCAGCACAGAGCCCAACGTGGGGCTCAAACTCACAGACCGTGAGATCATGACCTGAGCCGAAGTCAGACGCTTAACCGACCGAGCCACCCAGGCACCCCTCCCCTAATTTCATTTTTAAAAAAAGAGCTCTCTTTACTTTGAAAAATAGTTTACCACAATTAACATTTGGTTTCAATCTTCCTGACAAGTGTATCTGTGTCCAAAATAACCCTCCATACTTCTGAATGTGCCAAAGCACCCCTCTAACTTGAAGTAAAAGATGTATTTGCTATACATGGTTATTTCAAGTTAAAGCAGCATATACATACTCCAAATTTTTCAGGACTACCAGTCCTCATAATTAATCTGATGTACATAATATTGTATAGTTCACTACCAATGAATTGAGAACTACTACAAAACGCAAGCAACAGTTTTGGTTAATCAAGCATATCACAGGATTCTGTTCTTTATCACACCACAACACATCTGAAGGCAGATACAGCTGACATTTCATCACCCAGGTGTCTATAATTAGCATTATAAGACTTTGGGAGAAATTGTTAATGGTGTTTTCTATAGTAAGAGTATTTTCATAATCAGGGCACCTAGGTGGATCAGTTGGTTAAGCGTCTGACTTCAGCTCCGGTCATGATCTCACCATCCATGAGTTCGAGCCCTACATCGGGCTCCGTGCTGACAGCTCTGAACCTGGAGCCTGCTGCAGATTCTGTGTCTCCCTCTCTCTCTG